TCCACAGATCTACTTATATGCAGAACTTTTTCAATATAAATTACACCAAACGTGCCTGTCACCCCTTCTACCTCCATCCTTGAGGAAACAAGACCCCCCCCGCCCCAGCCTCTTTAACTTGAAGACAACAAAGATGAATACCTTTTTGATGATACAGGTCCACTTAATGAATAATAAAAATGTTTTCTCCTGTGATTTTAACATTTTTTTCTCTAGTTTACTTTACTGTAAGACTATGGTATGTAATACACATAATAAAAAGTATGTGTTTATCAATTATTTATGTTATCAGTAAGGATTCTGATCAATAATAGGCAATCAGAGATCAGAGGTTAAGTTTTTGAGGAGCCAAAAGTTTCTGAGAAATTTTTAGTATGTGCAAGGGTGGGATATTGGCACGTCCCACACCTCTATACTTCCATAAAAATACTACCGTATGAGTACTACCAATGTTCATTACCTGTTTAACCCATACCTTTCCTAAAGACAAAAAAGGTAACTTTTGATGGAAGATTCAACATCTACCACAAGGACAAGTCAAACTCTAAAACCAGTGAGCTACCTTGTGCCTTGTTTGATCTGGGCCAGTTCAGAGTATACTGGGGGGGAAGTGGCTATCAGAAAGAGGCTGTAAAAGGTAGCATTTACTCCCTTCTTTTCTAAGAGCCTCATATTTATCTGTGATCAATATTGTTAATATACCATGCCTTCAAGGTCTCTATTGCCACAAAAAGCTATTTGCAACTTATTTTAAATAGTACCAAGCCTATCTCCTTTCTTCTTTTGATTTTAATAATATTTTCTTTTTCTTCTTTGTAATAAGGTCATTTCTCATTGTTTTCATAATGCCTTAATATAGCAGCCTTCTTCCCCTTTGAACTGTTAATTTCAATGTAAAACAACCATAAATACCATTAAATTCCTATGTAATATAAGAATAGGCTGAGTATCTATTCCTCAAATAAACACATCTATTCTGAGAATTTTCTGCTTTATTTTTAGTTGTGTTCCAAATAGTCAAGGTTACTATAATACTAAAGGAAGTAAGACTAATAACAATCATATCCAAATGGGTGACTATCACATTTTCTACAATGTACTATGTATAATAAAACTAGATGTGAAAACAGATTATTCACCATTAAAAAGAAAGGAAATTCTAACACATGCCACAAATACATGGTCCTTGAAGATGTGATGCCAAGTGAAAGAAGCCAGTCATAAAAAGATAAACACTATAAGGTTCCACCTGTATCAGGAACCTAAAGTAATCCAATTCATAGAGACAAAGTAGAATGACAGATGACAGCAGCTCAGAGGAGGAGGAACAGGGAGTTAGTGTTTAAGTACAGAGTTTAAGAAAAAAAGTAGTATACAGTTTCTATCTGGAAAGATAAAGTTCTGGAGATGGATGGCAATGATGGTTGCAAAGCAATGTGACTATACTGTACACTTAAAAATGGTTAAATTGGCTCAGAGCCCGAAGCAAAGTGGTTATGGTGCTGGCCACATGCACTAAGACTGGCAGGTTCAAGCCTGGCCCAGGCCAGCTAAAAAACAGCAATGACAACTGCAACAAAAGAATAGGTGGCCGTTGTCCCAGCTACTTGGGAGTCTGTGGCAAGAGAATCACTTAAGCCCAAGAGTTTGATGTTGCTGTGAGCTGTGACACCATAGCACTCTACTGAGTGTGACACAGGGAGACTCTGTCTCAAAAAAAATTTTTTTTTTTTTAAAAATAAAACAAAAACAGTTAAACTGGAAAATGCTGCTTATGTATATTTTACCACAGTCAGAAAAAACAAACAAAATAGATGAAACTTCCTCATATTTTTTGCTTCTCTATAGTTACAGTTTAACCCAAAATGACTAAGTGCTTAGATATACCAATCAACATGGTTCTTAACAGATTAAAAAAATTTTGAAGTCCAACACAATATGAACTGTTTAACTGTCTTTGTTTCCCAGTACAAAAGTATATGGTAATAAAAATGTTATTTCTTCAACTCCATTTTTACTAGTATCATTTTGTGACTCTAGAGAAAAAGACAAATTTATTCCAGTTTTGGTCTTTGATTAAATGGTTTTAAGTGCTGACTTAAATTTGCTTTCTGCACTACAAGTAACACTGTTCTTTTGCTGATTATGAAGATTCGATCCTAAAAATTAACTTCATGAGTACCACTTGTCCATCTGTCTTAACTCTATAGCTCATGACTATCTATCCTTAAATAAACGAGTATATAAATAAAGCAGTTTCTTAAAGAACCCACATTTATTCTCTGCTTTAGAAAAAAAAACTTTCATGAATCATTCTCAAAATACTTCATCCCAATACACCACGGAAAAGTTGCTGTTTACAATGTCCTCACAAAACATTCCACCATTTCTTTAGTTGCCTTTTCCTTTAGTTTCTAAAATATATTCCAGCACTAAGTATCACTGAAATAATAAACTTACATGCCTTTTCTGCTTTGAAAAGTTTGTACATAACTTACAAAGTTCACTTAATGTATGTTTATTAAAAACATGGAATAAGAAACATTTAATTTCTAAGTACATTTATAAGTAATTACATAAGCAATTTTACTAATTCAGCACAAATAATTTTAGCATGACAGTCTATTATTTCAATTTACATAAAAGTTACATAAAACCACAAATGTATAAAATAAATAACTTCACGGTTGATCTAATATAAATCCTTAAAACCTCTGTAGCAGTTAATGCACACTGCTATGGATGTGTAAACTACACCTACCGTTTGGACTTGGGATTAGTAATTTCAAAAAGACTCACACACATAAACAAAGAATGAGGTTGAAACTTACTTTTGTCACCATAACCACCACAAAGTTTTTCTCATCAATTTTATATTCTTTTAGTGCAGTATCATCATTGAGGATTTTGCCTAATACAGTAAGAGATAACAATACAATAAGAAATATTATTTAGCATGCAGTAATCTTTTGTCTTACATGCAACTTAAGCTAAAATTGTTTATTAATCACTAACAACAATTCTAACAATTACTACTTTCCCCAATGAATAAATTACCCAATCAGCCACAATAAAGATAAACACATTAGTTAAAAAAAGCATAAACATCTGACTGTAACATGTCAAACATACACACTGTATATATAAAAGCTAAGTAATTTTTAAAAATGTATTACTTAATTCTATAAAAGACTTCCTAGCCAAGAAAATGTGAAAGTAGTTCCGAGAAAGGAGACATAATGGAGACAATGAAAATTCAATATTATGACTGCCTAAGGGTCCCTTAGCAAATAGCTTATATTCTTTCCTGATATTCTTTTCCCGGTTTCTTATTCCCACAAAGGCCAGATACCTGAAAAATCAGTAACATTCCAATGCTATTAAAGGAAGATATTACAAGTACTTTAGAAAATGACATAGAGGATACAAGAAAAGGCAGGATGCTATAGAACTCAGTAATGCAAAAAGAAGTACACAAAACTGTGGTCAAGTTGAAGGTTAAATATTAGGTCAGGACTCCTTAATGTTTCCTGTTCAATGACTTTAGCTTCCTACCTTCAAATACCAAACCAAAAGCTGCAAGCAATAAGACAGAAACCAACACAGTCTCTACCCTGGACAGAAATGAAAGCCAGCTCATTATGTCTGCCTCTAATTTAGGCTTCTGAATTTCTGACCTATAAAAATGATGCAGTTAAATCTCAAGGCTAACATTTCCTCTAAACAGTCTCAGCTAAGAAAATGCTACCCAGGAAAAGACAAGACAAAGATGAGCAATCAAAATCCCACCTTATTGACATCTACAATGACAATGTTCAGTATCTCCTTTGAAAAACACGGAGAATTTTCCCTACTAAATTCAGGTTATCAAGTCTATTTTTAACATTTTCTTGGTTGCCAGTGAAGCTAATTAAGTTTATAATTTCCTATTCATTTCTTTTGTTCCTTTTTATTGGTCATCCTTTCCTTATTGATTTCTAAGAACTCTTTATGTTATCTGAATATTAATCTTTTCCCCCCCTCCTGTCAGTTACAGTGTCTTTCAACATGTAAATTTAATATTCTTCAATTTTGTTCAAAATTTAACTTTACAGAAATGAGTCCAAGTACACTATTAACACAACCAGCATAAACAGTTTCAATTCAAATTTTTAAAAAGCTCAGATTGATTAAAAACACAAAAGCCAAACATCATGATGCTTATAAAAGAACTAAATAAAACTAACATCAGTGGATGGAAAAATACATAGGGCAAATGTGAATAAAGAGAAGATTGAATATAAATATCATATTCAAATGACTGCTCTTCCACTGCTTTTATATGTACCATGTTTCTGACAATCAATTTGAATACACTACAATTTATAAGACAGCATTTCTAAAATAAAAATAATACCACTTTAAGAAAGGCATAGCATATTAATATTTAATTCATACCTGCATAAATTAATTTTTGACCTGCTACTGGAAAGGCATCTTTCCCCTTTTCAGATTCAATCTTCTCTTTCAGTGCTTTCACCTATAGGAAAAATAAAGATTTTTGGGAAAAAGTCTAAACAAAAACATGACATTCCAGAATCTGAATAAATAATAGGAAAAAATTATTTTTAGGTAGGACAGGCATAAACTTCATTTTAACACCATCTATTACAAGTAAATCTAAAAACCTTTATCGGTTGACTTGGCAAATTAATTTAAAATAAGTATTTCAGCATCAAAGTTTTGATTCTCATGAAGTTTACAGGTTTATTTCCCACAAAGTAAAAAAATAAAGCTTGCCAATTTAAAAGGACTAAGAAATATAAGAGTTTCATCTACAATAATAAGAATACTTCAGTGTTAAATGCTAAATGTGAATGCTGAAGGCAAATAATTCGTTTTAAGAGTGTCATGATGTTCCATTATATATAATTACCCAAGGGGTGCTTTATAAAGATCAATTAAAACCATCTACGAGGATAGGCCCTGGACATCATTATTTTTGAAAAGCTTAACAGATGGTTCCCAAGTCAGCCAAGACAGAACCAATGGACTACTTAAATGATTTTAAACAAGCAGCTTAGCTTCTCTCAGCATCAGTCTCATCTATAAAGAAGAAGCAAATAGATGAAGTTCATAGTCTCTTCAATTCATAAAACTGTGTGACAAGAGGCACATTAAGACATACGTAGAAAACAAGTCTAATGGGCTTGAGGCCTGTGGCTCAAGCGGCTAAGGCTAAGGTGCCAGGCACATACACCTCAGCTGGCTGGTTTGAATCCAGCCCGGGCCGCCAAACAACAATGACAGCTACAACCAAAACATAGCTGGGTGTGGCAGGTGCCTGTAGTCCAGGCTTCTTGGGAGGCTGAGGTAAGAAAATCGCTTAAGGCCAGGAGTTGGAGGTTGCTGTGAGCTGTGATGCGATCGTACTCTACCCAGGGCCACAGCTTGAGGCTCTGTCTCAAAAAAAAGAAGAAAGAAAACAAGTCTAATGAGGCCACGATCCAAAATCCCAACACTTTGGGAGGCCAAGGTTGGAGTATTACTGGAGGCCAGGAGTTCAGGACCAGCCTGAGCAACATACCAAGACCCCATCTCTACAAAAAAATAAAAAAGTCAGCAGGATCTGGTTATCACTAGCTTGTTGTCCTAGCTCCTCAGGGGGTGAGGGAGGAGGATCAGTAGGATCCCTTGAGTTCAGGAGTTTGAGCCATGATCATGCTCTAGCCTTGGAGGGCAGCAGGGAGAAAGAGAGACTAATAACTTTTTTAACTGATAGGAAAGTAGGGTTGCCTAGGAGTAAAAAGGCAAGGGACCTGGCTTTCCTAAGTGCCTTAACAGAACTACTTTTATTATTTTTGATTCAAAATAATCAAGGGGGAAAATTCCATTCCCTTCAATTTTCCAGAAACTTCTGAAAATTATCGAAGTTGACAATTCTGAGTTTTAAGTAAAGAACTGTCTGACAGGGATAGAGAAAGGAAGCTCCTTGGTACAAAAAACTAATGATGTGTACTTCAAAAATAAAAAATATTGGCTCGGCGCCTGTGGCTCAAGCAGCTAAGGCGCCAGCCACATACACCTAAGGTGGTGGGTTCGAATCCCCAGCCAGGGCCCGCCAAGCAGCAATGATGGCTGAAACCAAAAAATAGCCAGGTGTTGTGGCGGGCGCCTGTAGTCCCAGCTACTTGGGAGACTGAGGCAGGAGACTCGCTTGAGCCCAGGAGTTAGAGGTTGCTGTGAGCGTGATGCCATGGCACTCTACCCAGGGGGACAGCTTGAGGCTCCGTCTCAAAAAATAAATAAATAAATAAATAAATATTTATTTAGCTTCAAGAACATTACCATACACAATTTCACATAATCCTCAAAATTCTGAAACTGGCTCAGTGCCCATAACACAATGGTTATGGGGCTAGCCACATACACCAAAGTTGGCAGGTTTGAACCCGGCCAGGGCCAGCTAAACAATGACAACTGCAACAAAAAAACAGCTGGGTGTTGTGGCAGGCGTCTGTAGTCCCATCTACTTGAGAGGCTGAGGCAAGAGATCACTTGAGCCCAGGAGCTTGAGGTTGCTGTGAGCTGGGATGCCACAGCACTCTACTGAGGGTGATATTATGAAACTCTGTCTCAAAGAAAAAAAAAATTCTGGAACCAATGGAAATATCATCCACTGAATTTTATGTATGAAGAAATAGAAATAAAAAGGTTAAATCACCCACCCCAAATCACACTGCTACTTAACTGGTAGCTGGACCCTGCAGCCATTTCTTACAACTTTCAGCTTTAAAGCATAGTATTCTGAAAATATATATGTACGACGTGAACCACTTTTGCTACACTGATCTTCCTGAAATGGGTTAGTATAATCACTGCTATTTTGATGTTCCCCAAGGTAGAAACCTATCACTAAAATCTCAATCTTCTACTTTCTGAATTTCAAAGGTAAAATACAAGTAAAAACATTTTAAAGCCAAAGATTAGATTTGCAAAAAAAGGGTAATACGATGTTAATCTGCTTTGTTGTTGCTTTGTAAAATAGTTACTTCTCAAAAAAAAATTAATTACAACATTTAATGGACTTATCATTTTTAAAATATTTAAAAAATTTGTTTTTAATTTCTAAAATGGTAAATATCAATAAATACAAGCACATAAAGATATTCTGGAATCTTCAATAACTTTTAAGTATGCAGGAGTCTTGAAACCAGACAGTCTGAGGACCACCAAATGTCTTGCCCAGTCAACAAAGAGATGGCAGAACATGGAGCACTCAGTGGTAAATGGTAAATTTCCTTTCAAACATTTTTCTTTATAAAGGGAGAATAGAGATACAATATTTGCAAATACTATGTGGTGAAAATTACAAATGAATTACAGATGACTTCTATCACTGTACGAACCCATTTCTCAGAACAGTACAGAGTGGATGCTCAATCACCACATGCTGAATGAATAAATGAAAACAGCATAAAAGTGTTTAGAAAAAAGTAGATGGAGCAAAAAGTAAAAGAAATAAGCAGGATTATCTCAATCATGACATGTTAGAATGAATAATACAGATTTAATTAATATATACTATATGAAGTTCTCTAATCCATACGATATAAACTGTATTTGTATTTCCAGCACCCATAAACGATTTTTCAAATTTAGGCCACAAAAAGTATTTCCCTATATAGTTTTCTAAAAGCCTAAAAATGGACCCACTTTCTAGCTTTGTGTATTAAAAAAGGAGGGGATAAGAGGAAAAAAAAAAAACAAAAGACCCCATAAATTAAGAAAAATTGAACCAGGCTTGGCTCCCATAGTACAGTGGTTATAGAGCCAGCCACATACACAGAGGGTTGGAACCTGGCCCAGGCAAACTAAACTGCTGCAACAAAAAAAATAGCTGGGCATTGTGACCAGTGCCTACTATAGCTTATAGTCCCAGCTACTCGGGAGGCTGAGGCAAGAGAATCACTTAAGTCCAAGAGTTTAAGGTTGCTGTGAGCTATGATGCTACCGCACTCTACTGAAGGTGACATAGTGAGACACTGTCTCAAAAAAAAAAAAATGTGACTAAAGAAGTAACAATGAGAACTCTGTACACAATAAAAAGAAAAATCAAGTAAGATTAAGGAAAGGTAAGAAACTGTTCTTGAGCTAAGAACAACAAAAGACAAATAACAGGGCAGAGCAAGAAATTCACAAATACAGTCACATAAACACACAGAAAGTTCAATCTCATTAGTAACTAAAAACACAAATGTGATGTCACATGTCATTAATTCAATAGACTGCAATACTAGAAAAGACTATGTTGAACAAATTCTTGGTGTAAACAAGTGTCAAAAGACATACAGAATGAAAGTATCAAATGATTACAATTTTTGAGAACAATGTCTCAACATCTTTAAAGGGGAGGGAGCCTTTGACCCCAAAATACTACTTCTGCCAATGTATCAAAGAAAATTACTGAACCAGACTGCGGAATCAGGTTCACTGACCTGTCCAAAATTCTGGCATTATTCCTTAACCTCAATGATGATCTTTACTTTCATGAAAATCCATTTACATCTTCTACTCACAGGATACAGGTTGAATGCTGTCATCCAAAAACTGTTCCATCTTTGAAATTATAAGTGACCAATTTCTTATTCCCACCAGTTCCCACTACACTTGCTCTTGAACCTCATAAAGAATTTGGTTCCTGGCTCGGTGCCTGTAGCTCAGCAGCTAAGGCGCCAGCCACATACACTGAACCCGGCTAGTTCAAACCCAGCCTGGACCTGCCAAACAACAATGACAACTACAACCAAAAAATAGCCGGGCATTGTGATGGGCACCTGTAGTCCCAGCTACTTGGGAGGCTGAGGAAAGAGAATCACTTAAGCCCACGAGTTTGAGGTTGTTATTAGCTGTGATACCATAGCAAGTTACCGAGGATGACACAGTGAGATTCAAAAAAAAAAAAAAAAAGAGGAATAAACTAAAACAATTATCTTTAAAAACAAGAAGAATTTGGTTCCTAAAGTCTCTACTTCCACTTCAGATCTTCACTACTAGTTCAGTTTAGCTGAGATAACATTGACAATGCTTCTATTACCTTCTTTTAATATCAAAGACTCCCTTGTTTTTCAGGCAAAATTCTGTATTTAGACTAACACAACTAAATTTATAGTATTTCCGTTAGTTAATACCCAATGACTAAAAACTTAATTCAAGCATTCTGTGGTGTCTCACTGGAGTGAGAAAAGGAAGAACACACTCAATTCTCTGTGCACCCTAGTTAGTTAGCCCTCCCCTGTATTCTCCAAAAGGATATTTCAAACCTTCACTCTGCTAACTCTGATTCCTAACACTCTCCTCCTCTCTTTGCAGATGACCACTTTCTACATTAACAACACAGAAGACATCAAAGAAACTCATCTTCAATTTTCTGCCACCAAACCGACATACTCTGTTACATCCAGATCTACCTAATAATTTCCTTCCCACCTAGTAAATGAAAGAGGCATCCTTTCTTTCAAATCTAATTCTTTTCACCTG